TAAAGTTGCTCTTAATACCAGACAGCTTGAAGAGGTGTTGGTTGGTGGGTTTTTTTTTTTTTTCCACATCAGATGAATTCAGAGAAGAGCGATGGTTTGATTGCCAACATAGCGTCTGTCTCTTCTATAGCAACACATTCCCAGAGTAATCTCTGTCTTTATGCTGTTTGTGGAATAGTAGGTCATCATGTGCTATTACCCGCTCTTGGTCTTACCACTGAAGCCCTCACTTGAAGTAATACTCAACTTGTGTATAACTAACGGTGGTCTCAAGTGCTGTACCAGCTATAAAAGGCCGATGACAGTAAAAAAGAAAACTGAATTGTAGATAGTAATTCTTCTCATTTTATCAAGAAAAAAGGTTCCTTTTACCAAAAATAAAGAACAATATACATTTTTATCCAAGAGTAATTAATTATTTTCATGTGTATCCATGATTATAGTGTAAAAGAGTAGATGAATCTCCTATGACGGATGCATGTCGTTCCTTGTGACTTGTGATCAGTAACTGATTCTGACATGCTCCAAAATCTGAGGCAGTGTTCTGAAAAGTCAGGTGGATGAGACTGAATTTTGTTTTATGCAATGAATACTTATCTTAATACCTGAAAGCATTTCAGCCAGTGTGGCCAGCCTTCCCCCCTTAGCAGGATTTGAGTAAAAATAGATATAAAAGAAATAAAATGAAAATCAACTTTGGAACTTGGCTTGTCTTCCTATATTCATAGCTGCACTGTCTGAAGTGCTTTGAAAGTGCACTCCAGAATTTTAAAAAATAAAATCAAACAAAATACCTGGAGAACTGAAATGGAATGTTATTCTGGGGAAGGCACAAGCAGAGGGATTATCTGTAAAAACTTTAATAGCTTCACTAGAAATCATTCAGAAGTTCTTTCTTTTCCAATATTTATCATTTTCCCCTCGTATTCTTGGATTTCTTATAAGATGAACAATAATAAAAAAAACTAAACCATTGAACCATCAGCTTCTTGTTTATAATTCTATCAAACTTGTTTGCTATGTACTGCATAGATTCATTTTATATTAATATACAAATATTTCTGTTATAGGATAAAAGAATACTTGACATGTTATATTCATCTGTGCAGTGTGTGAAGTATATTCGTGTGTGTGTGTGTGTGTGTGTGTGTGTGTGTGTGTGTGTGTGTGTGTGTGTG